CACACTAAAATCATTATTTCTAAATCTTTCAAACCACTTCTGCGCAGTCCTTACACTTGTTACAGTTTGATTATAAGCAGTATTTAATTTTTTGGCTGCATTTGTAGCATTCTCACCACTTAAAAATAAAAAGTATAAAACATGTCTCTTATATTCATCTGTTACTTCCATTTTAACGAAAATAAACAACTGAAATGTTCCCAATTCTGAACAGTATTGTATGAATGAGATCCAATTTAACACTTCAGTGTAAAAAGTATCACATTAGACTGGCATTTTTAACAGCAAAACAAGATTTTTCTCAAAGTCATAAAATATGCATGAACTTATGGACTGACCTGATAATTACAGTAATGCAGTAGTTTCCAAACTTTCTGTACTTGCACCCCTTTTTTTCAGAAAAAAATTGTTGCACCCCATCAATTTTCGTAACCATCTAATTTCATAAATACTGTCCTTATAATTTATTTAATGACCTACAAAACAATATATCTTATTAAATAAAGTATATTGTTTTCTGGGGCTTAACTCTTGTCAAGATATTTCGGCAATAGTGCAAATAGGTTTTTAGCATTTGTACCAGAGTCATTTGGAGGATTGTGAATTAGGCATAACCATTTTGCTGATTCATTTTTTTGACATTGATTTGACTTTTTTTTGTTGCTCGTATTAAAAAATGATAATTTGGTGAAATCTGTGCACCCCTTGCAATAGTCTTGCACCCCACAAATTGGAAAACACTGCAGTAATGTAATCATAATAAATTACCTTTAATATTTAAATCAATAAAATATTATCAGAACATTTTGATAAATTTTATTTTTAGCAAGCCTTTTACTATAATATTAATAATGACAAAATTGCTTCTCTCAGTTTGTAATTATGTAATGAATTTAATATCATCATATTAATATATTTAGTATTAAAAAAAGCTTTAGGTAGGAAAATATTTTTTTTAAAATAATTTAGGCAATCATAAATTTAAAGTCTAGAAAGATGGGAGAATATTATTCACTACAAAAAGGAAATAATTTAATGAAGAAGAAAAAAGTAATAGTTAATTAAATTTAAGAAAACTTTTCTGAATTTAGTTTAAAAGTTATTTACAATAAATAAATTAAGTATTAGCAATTTCTTTTCAGGTGCTGATGCTACACCCAAAGGACTTGAGGTTACATTTTATGTGCAAGAAGTTCGAAGAATTACAGGAGGAATTAATACTTTAGTTGGAAATAATGAAGGAAGCTTGGTTTGTATTTTAATCAGCTTAATAGACACTTCATATGTAATGTGCATTTTCTTACAAAAGCAAAATGAAATTTGCTAGAATATATTGATAAAAAGTATGCTTTTGTTATTTTCTTCAGATATCTTATTAATTTTATCAACAGTTCAAATATTTAAAAAATATTTTAGTTATATAATTTCCAGATTTGTCATTTTATTGGAAGCATTTATATTACAAACTAGCTGTTACCTGCGNTTTCCAAACTTTCTGTACTTGCACCCCTTTTTTTCAGAAAAAAATTGTTGCACCCCATCAATTTTCGTAACCATCTAATTTCATAAATACTGTCCTTATAATTTATTTAATGACCTACAAAACAATATATCTTATTAAATAAAGTATATTGTTTTCTGGGGCTTAACTCTTGTCAAGATGTTTCGGCAATAGTGCAAATAGGTTTTTAGCATTTGTACCAGAGTCATTTGGAGGATTGTGAATTAGGCATAACCATTTTGCTGATTCATTTTTTTGACATTGATTTGACTTTTTTTTGTTGCTCGTATTAAAAAATGATAATTTGGTGAAATCTGTGCACCCCTTGCAATAGTCTTGCACCCCACAAATTGGAAAACACTGCAGTAATGTAATCATAATAAATTACCTTTAATATTTAAATCAATAAAATATTATCAGAACATTTTGATAAATTTTATTTTTAGCAAGCCCGTCTTTACGAATATTTATTCGAAAGGTGTTTCCTGTGATAATTTAAACTGAATTTTCAAGACAATTTTAAAGTATTTTGCCCTGTGTGAATGCGAAGATGACTTATTAGATGATGTTTCCTTGAAAATCTCCGTTTGCAGTGATCACAAGCAAATGGCTTTTCGCCAGTGTGAATGCGAAGATGTTTTACTAGATTTTGTCTTTGTGTAAAGTTCCGTTTGCAATGGTCGCAAGTAAAAGGTTTCTCTCCAGAATGAATCCTANTCATAAAATATGCATGAACTTATGGACTGACCTGATAATTACAGTAATGCAGTAGTTTCCAAACTTTCTGTACTTGCACCCCTTTTCTTCAGAAAAAAATTGTTGCACCCCATCAATTTTCGTAACCATCTAATTTCATAAATATAATTTATCCTTATAATTTATTTAATGGCCTACAAAACGATATATCTTATTAAATAAAGTATATTGTTTTCTGGGGCTTAACTCTTGTCAAGATGTTTCGGCAATAGTGCAAATAGGTTTTTAGCATTTGTACCAGAGTCATTTGGAGGATTGTGAATTAGGCATAACCATTTTGCTGATTCATTTTTTTGACATTGATTTGACTTTTTTTTTTTGCTCGTATTAAAAAATGATAATTTGGTAAAATCTGTGCACCCACTTGCAATAGTCTTGCACCCCACAGATTGGAAAACACTGCAGTAATGTAATCATAATAAATTACCTTTAATATTTAAATCAATAAAATATTATCAGAACGTTTTGATAAATTTTATTTTTAGCAAGCCTTTTACTATAATATTAATAATGACAAAATTGCATCTCTCAGTTTGTAATGAATTTAATATCATCATATTAATATATTTAGTATTAAAAAAAGCTTTAGGTAGGAAAATATTATTTTGAAATAATTTAGGCAATCATAAATTTAAAGTCTAGAAAGATGGGAGAATATTATTCACTACAAAAAGGAAATAATTTACTGAAGAAGAAAAAAGTAATAGTTAATTAAATTTAAGAAAACTTTTTTGAATTTAGTTTAAAAGTTATTTACAATAAATTAATTATTAGCAATTTCTTTTCAGGTGCTGATGCTACACCCAAAGGACTTGAGGTTACATTTTATGTGCAAGAAGTTCGAAGAATTACAGGAGGAATTAATACTTTAGTTGGAAATAATGAAGGAAGCTTGGTTTGTATTTTAATCAGTTTAATAGACACTTCATATGTAATGTGCATTTTCTTACAAAAGCAAAATGAAATTTGCTAGAATATATTGATAAAAAGTATGCTTTTGTTATTTTCTTCAGATATCTTATTAATTTTATCAACAGTTCAAATATTTAAAAAATATTTTAGTTATATAATTTCCAGATTTGTCATTTTATTGGAAGCATTTATATTACAAACTAGCTGTTACTTGCGACTTTGCCCATGGAGGTTTTGCAAGCAAACCCCATTTATATTCAGTATTTCAACAACTATAGTAATTGTTATATAACACCTACCGCTGAGAATCAAACAAACTATTTTCAATTTGATCAATTTTCTGGAATGTTTACAATCATTCAATAATCGAACCAATATGCAATAACAAATTCAAATTTAAAATGGTTCAAACATTTGGTTAAAAAATCGAAATATATAAAAATATTTATAACAATGTCTAAAACTTTATCAATTTAATACACCTAAGTACTCAATGAAGACTAAATGTTGTTGAAAACAAAAAATCGTATCTAAAATAGTACAGTAGAACAGCTTCCGTCCTTTTGGTTAAGTCTTAATGCTCCCCCCATGGGGGAATTTCAAAAAATTCCTACTTAGTGTGCATTCCCATCGCGTACCTTACTAAAATGCGGTTAAAAACAAAAAAATCACATCTAAAATAGTACAGTAGAAGCCGTTCTTCCAAGTAAGCCTTAATGCTCTCCCTCTCCCCCCTCCCGCAGGGGAATTTCGAAAAATCCCTTTGTAGTGTGCGTTTTCATGACGTACCCTAACTGTGTACCAAATTTCACCTCTTTAGGTTCAGCGATTTGCTCTGGGCGATGATGAATCAGTCAGTCAGTCAGGACAAGTAATTTTATATATTTAGATAAACATGTTTATAAAAACAACAGATTTGTGAGAATAACTTAATTCAGTATGGAAGAAAAGTGTAATACAGTAGAGCATCGATTTTCCGAAAGTCAATCATCTGAAAGAATTCCAGTCGGCAAATTTAAATTTTCTCCAGTGCTGTGGCGCTTCAATCTTTGGCTATGTCTTGGGCTACTCAAATATTTTACGTTTTGATATTAAATTAACATCTGAAGTATATTTTTTTGTTGTTTTTATATTTTTCAATATATTTATTTTGTTTGTACAAAATAAAAAAATAATTTTTAACGATACAATAGTCTTTGCTAGGCTTAACATCAACGAAAATTCAACGCAAAGTGACACATAACGGAGAAAAATTTCAACATCGGATATGTTAAACTATTTTTTCGTACATAAATCTGTTATCCAAAATATCAGTTATACGAACAACCCCAGTCTCCAATTGATTCGGAAAATCAACACTCTACTGTAATTAAACATGGTTTAAACAAAGAATTTCAAAATAGGACCAAAAGATTGTGATGATAAATTAAATTATGAGAACTTTTTAATGGACATTTATAACTACAGATAACTTAGAGTTCATGCAGACTGGCTACATATAATTGATGGTTTCCATTACTAGATTTTGTGGATTTTTTAGCCTAAAATTTTTGGTTTTTTTCAGTAACTTACATCACACAAGGAACTTGTATTGATATAGATTTTATTATTGCATGAGGATGCGGATATACATAAATTTAAAATTGTTTCTCATAATTTTAAAATAAACTATCGATTATCTAATTAAAATAGATGACATTAAGTAACTTTTTTATTACAAAGAAAAAATATTTCAATATATTTTATACATTTATTAAGAAATTACTAAAATATTAAAAAATGAATGTATATAATTTATATAAGAATAATAATATCTAGAGCTAATTATTAGAAAAATTAGTAGACCATATTATAGGTATATAATTCATATAATTTCCTATCATCATTTCATATGTATATAAGTAGTAGACAATATTATATGTATATAATTTTATAAGAATTTATAGAATGTAAATTATAAAATTTTAAACATATCAAAGTAAAAGTTAATCTATGTAATAGTAAGTTGAAGATAGCTATATATAATGTGAAACATTTTGTTTATATCTATACTAATAATAATACTGTTGTTATACTATTTTTTCTGCTTGTACTTTCTATCAAATAGCAAAGAAAACTTTTATTCTTGAAAATATGCTCAATGATATTTATAAAATATATTACACCCAATTCTGTTTGTACACAGACTTTTTTACAAGGTTTTGATTTAACTTTGCTTAGAAAAAATTCAGTTCTCTTGTTACATAGTTTCTTTTGATCAATACAGGCCTTTGAAAGGATTTCAGAAGGCCCTTGATAAATGTAGAGGATGTAAAAGAAAGTAAAGATGTAGCAAGGGCATAAATTGATTTCATGATAAATAAAAATCTTAAGTAATTAGTGTAATTAATTGGTGTTAATTGAAATTGTCCCTTTTTATAATACGGTTCATTTGCAAAATAGTTTAATTATTAATTACACCTTGGAACATGAGCTGCTAAAACATTTGTGCAGCCCAAAGAAATAAGTTTATTTTAATTTTGGCGCTCTACCTACTGCCAAGTTGTGCAGTTCTGCCACATTTCAATAAATTTGCATACTTCCTTTTTTAGAAAATCGCTCTTTTTATGAACATTCCTAGAATTTGCATTTAAGATAGTTACATACATTCAAGTAAATTTTAAGATTTGGCTGTTTTTTTATGACTTATTGTCGCTATAAATATTCAAAGAAGTATTTCATTCTGAGTTTATTCTATGATTGAAGCTGTTGCAAAAACTTTAATTCAAATTTGACAATATGTTTGTATGATTGCATTTCTTTCAATATGGAATAGTTTTAGTATACCACTTGGTGTTTAATAATCCACGAAACCCTTTTTTTTTACAAGTGTTATGTCTGTAAGCAAGTTGCTTACGGACATAACACTTGTAAAAAAAGGTTTTGTGGATTGTTATTTATCAACACAGTGTTAAGTTGTTGAAAGTCGTTTTTTGTATTATAAATTTATCAAATTTTGCTGATAAGTAAGTTACAGTTGTCCTAGATTTACTAACTAAAATTGAAAAAATTTTTTAAATTAAGTATACTTGAACATTTACCAGCAAAATTAGTATTTAATTATCTATATTTTTGACTATTCTAAGCAGCCATTTTGGGTACACTATGTAAGGCAAAACCTAGCAAGAAATTTATAGATTTGAACACATCCTATTAAATTAATTGGTTTGTCATATTATTTTATACTGGTTTTGGAGGTGTGGAATCAATCTTCCATTTTTTCATAGGAACAGAATTATTGACAAGACTATATCTTGTTTATAAAATCGTACTGCCTCCTGTGTTACCATCTTAGAGGTATGAAGGAATACTGTACAGTACATGTCAGGAGTTGCAATTTGGCACAGAGTATTAGGTGTCCAAATCATGCATGCATAAAAGAAACCAGACTTGTAAGCACTCAGAGGACTGAGAACCGAGTCAAAATAAAATACAAAATGGCGACTCTCTCTACAAACAGCCAAACCGAAGTCAGGTGGTGAGAGTATCACCCACAGTCATTCTAGGAAGTGGACTCTGACTCTAGGACTGAACACATAGTATTTTCTTTGTTAAATAAAATATGTAATCCAATTTTGTAAATTTGGGAGTACTTCAAATATGACATTAAAACAGGATTTTATGTTGTTACAAGTAGGTTTTTAACATTATCTAGTATATTAAAATCTTGGGACTGATAAAAATTTGACATTATGTTAGGGTTGTCGTTACATCCGATGACGTTATAATCAGATTAAACTGTATATTGTTTGTGCAAAATAAAAAAATAATTTCGGCCGATACAATAGCCATGATTATTTTTTTCAAAAACGGGAAATTTTCGTTACGCATCGGCAAAAATTCAACCTGGATCGACACGCAACGGAGAGAAATTTCGAGATTGAATAGGTTAATTTCATTGAAAATGCATCATGGACGACCTCATGGTTGTGGCCAGCAAAGTTTGAATGATCGTGCCCAAAACTAAAGAACTACTAAAGAAGATTGGAGAATGATAATGAGACCCACCTTGAGCATCAAAGTGATTCCGTTTAGTAGTGAGTCTCCAAGACATAGTCTTGTCCCAAATACGGTTTTGCCGTTTTACTTGTTTTTCACATAGATTTTAGGGAACATATCTATTGTGTAAAAACAGAATTGGGAGTATAATGTTTCTGAGAACAATATCTGCAGAGTATAGCTGGCAGGATTTTTTAAAATCGCAACTATATTTAAGTTAGTTTTAAATTTGAAAATAATCATATAATAATGAAGTTTCTTGAACTAATTCAGGTAGCTGGAGTTCAGTTGCCTAATATGTTTGGTAGAGGAGAGTGCTTACAGTCAGAATATCATTATGGTACAAAACGATCATCTGGCTTTAATGTTACATTTACAAAACCTTTCGTTTCTAGAGGAAATCCTAGGTAATCTATTATTATTATTAAAATACTGTGTTTTCTATGATTATATATTTTGCTACAAAACTATAATTATTATTTAAATTTATTATTATGTAGTTAAAAGTATAAATATGTAAAAAGAAAGTACAAAAAAATTCTTTGTTTGTCTACATTAAATTTCTTAAAATGTTATTGGCAATAAAAATTATTGATGAACTTTCATTCATTGTTAATTTATACCTATATTATAATATCAAAACTGCATTTCTGCCATAATAGTAATAGAAAAATTGTTGTTATTCTAGTTTCTTGTTTCGTTTCTTTAACAGTTTTAGGGTCAAGTATATAATATGCTTTTTTTTACAGACTTATCATACAGGAACTTAGTAGACAATATGGATGAATTTAGACTTTATTAATATTAGTTACAAGAAAATGGATTTTGGGTGTCATTCCCCTTATCAGTTCTTATCACTTTTCAAGAATACAAGTACTAAAAGTGTAAGAACTGATGAAAGATATTACACTCAAAATGCATTTTTTTGTAACTAATATCAATAAAGTCTAAATTCATCCATATTTGTGCCTAAGTTCCTGTATGATAAGTCCCATAAAAAAGTAATATTATATGCTTTGTGTATTAATCCAGGAGTTTATTGATTTTTTAATAGTTTATTGCAAGTAACCTTAACAGTTGCTTGTGTGCAGAAGGCTACAGCAAAAGTAATATTATATGCTTGAAACTGAAAATAATAGAAAAATCAATGCCTTTTCAAAAGATAATACAGATATTCTATTTAAGATTGTAACCTAATAATTTTAAAATAACCATTATTATCCTGTATTTTTTTTAATAAAATTTTATTCTTTATTGAAGAAGAAAAATGCTAAGTATCATATTATTTCAATACAGATGTTTTATCAGTTCTGATACAATAAGTTTTTGATGTTTCTAATAAAACATATTGAAATTAACAAAATTAACAAGTAAACAAATAATGGTTATAATAAATCAAGCAAACAGCAAACATGTAATACCAAAATCTAATATTTGCATTAATAACATTACCTTAATCTTTTAACTACAGAGAGCATTTGGATGTATTATCTATTAACTCTGAAGTCAATTCTTTTTTTTAAATTTTTTTATAGTTATCTTTACAGTATTCTTCAGTATATAACTTTAAAATTGTATTACTTAATATTTCACAAATTTTAGAATCGTGAAGTTGCATTGTTTTATTGCTAGTGACTACTGGTAAAATATTTATAATTTGCCTCACTTGTAAACCTCTGTAGCTTCATAATAAACATTAAAATATGGAAAAAAAACAAACTTCTTCTAAAGCATTGTACAGCCTACATGAATCCCTTCAAAAGCATTGTATAGCTTATGTAAATCCTTCCAGAAACATTTGAAGAATTCACGAAAACAGTGAAGTCAGTTTTCATTCAGTTTACATTAAATCATCTGTTTAAGATGACACTTGTGGGAGAGATAAAGAAAAGGTTTTCAAAGTTTACATAAAGATTTACAAGCAAATATAAATTACAAATAAATGTATCTAAATTTAATAGATACAAAAATATCAAATTTTGCCATGTGATTTTAAAAAATAAATTCAAACTTTGAATAAAATAAAATTAATTAAATTCTTTTCACCTCTTTGTCTTTACTTTTTACATTTCTATGTGTACAGGTGAAAATGAAGGTATTTTGTTTTGACTTTTTAAGATTTCCTCTCTTTGCTAATCAGAATCTTCACCAGTATAAGAAGTCCTAGTATTTACGAATGATAAGTAGACAATATACACATAGAAATGAAATTAAAGTTTTAGTGAAAAATATTTTTAAAACTTTTAAATAATAGTAATTTGTTAATATGTTTTTAAATTTTTAATACAGTAAATGAATATTCCAAGAAGCTTTTTACATATTTAGATAATATATAATTTAGGTTTACGGCTGCTCTGTTTAAGCAAGGAGAAGATTTTACATGGAGTGGTTTTCGAGAGATTGATCACGGAACTTTATTAGAATTAAACGTACGTTCTTTCATGGTTAAATTATTAAAAGCATTTAAAATATTTTAATTTACAATGTGGGACATGCTTACCTGATGGTTTTTAGAAAATCTTACACACATGTTTCATTATGAACAGATTTTATTACCATAAAAAGATAATCAATAGAATGGGGTTTAAGACAGTGCCTCACTTATGTCTTGAAAGTAATATTCACGATGTGGCCACCCTGATTTTCCAAACATTGTTCTATTCTGGTTTGAAGTAAATCTATCACCCAGAGGTCGATGTTCTGTGGAAGGTTATGAATCACATACCAAAACTTTCTGCCACTTCCTAACTCAACAATCCAGTGTTTCTTCAGAGGGCATGTTAGTGCTACCTTGTGGAAAGTTTATAATAACAAAATAAAAACTGTCAAGTGTTTATGCCCCACTCTATATTTAAGAAATGCTCACAGAATTGTTTTAATATATGAATATATTCTTTATATAGTTGGAATCCTTCCCTAGAATTCAGCACACTTTTCGCTGGGAAGGAATATGGAGAGAAATAAAATCTCTTAGTACAGTTACCTCTTTTCCCGTGAGAGAAGAATCAGGTCATTCTCTAAAGTCTTCAGTTAAAGTAAAGTTAGATTTATTAAAAACAGATTGCAACATGAACGGTACTATGTTTAAATTGTTAATAATATGTAAATAAAACTGTTGTTTATTTTAGCATACTGTAGCTTTGGATCTTAGGGACAATCCTGTTATACCAACTTATGGACAGTTATTCAAACTTCATCAAGTAAGTTAAAATTTTTAATACTCGTTTAAATTTTTTTATTTTCATTTTCTATTTTAAGATATTGATTTTATATTTTATTATTTTGAATAGGAATATGCTGGTCTAGGAGGTGATGTCGGATTTTTAAAACACGAGTTAGAAGTACAATTAAATCAGTCTCTTGGAATGGATATGGTGAGTTATAGAATAATGCAGTAAAATGTAAAAGTTTTAATTTCATTTACAATCAGAAAACTAACTTTACAACTTTAATTACTTAAATAATTTAATGAAAATCAACTATTTCAATTTCTTTAGGTGCTACAAGCATCTCTGCTAGGTGGAATTTTAAATAAAATACAGAATAAAAATTATTCAATCTGTGATAAATTTTTTCTTGGTGGCCCATTGTCACTCCGAGGATTTACTGTTAGGGGTGTTGGACCACGAGCAAATGGTAATATAATTTTATTATTATTAAATCTCTAACTGCATTATTAATTACTACATTCCACTATACCTTTAAAATGCAGTCTACTTTTGTCTAGTTCTCTAACGTTTTCGGTCTAATTCATAGACCTTCTTCAGGATTGATGTAAAAAAATTTTTAAAAATTTGAATTTTCCCAACGGTAATTCGAACAACGCACGTTCTATAATCTTCAGATATTCGATCGCGCATGTCCATTAGCTCTTTATAATGCCGCCGCTCTCCATGCCGATGCTATTCTACTTGACTCTCGAAAATTTATATTTAGCCCCTTTTTTCTGTATTTATAAATGTGCCATGCCTCTGCATACTTTAGATGTCGTATATTAGCAATCTTTTGTATAATATCCGCCTTGCTCCATTCGATTGTAATCTCTGCAGGATCCGCGATAGCATAATTGGCCAAAGCCGTGATCGGTTGTTTAGATCTTATATTTTTTTCGTGCTCCTTCAATCTTTCTCTTAATGATCTCTTTGTGGCTCCTATATAATATAACTCTTTCTTTAGCCTTTTATCATGCAACGGTATTCTGTACACACCTGGAACTAGCCTCCNAAACAAAGAACTAATACGAAAAGGAGGGTTAGGTTTCAAAAATTAAAAAACATGCTAGTATATTTTCATAATTAAGATAAATACCTTCATTAAAATTTTTTAAGTGATACATATTAATGTAAATTAAACAATGTTTTCTTCGTTATCACTAAAAGCACTATTAATTAACCGAGAGCGTTTTCTTTTTAGCAAGTTATCCTTATCCTCTGAGCCTTTTTCTGCATTATTTTCAGATCCATGCTTTACCTTTTTCAAAATGTATGTAATTTTAGATTGCTTGCTTTTAGTTAAAAGGTCTTCATAAATTTCCTGATATTGTGCTAAGCACTTATGAAGAATAAAGCAAGTATGGAATAAGGGAAAAACATTCGGCAACATCAGAAGCAGAAGCGTCGCGATCTGGCAACATTGAAACAAGTTTCGAGAAGGACCACGTGTATCGACAGAAGGCGAGAAGAGAAAATTTACATACTTAAGTACTAATAGTTCACGAAAATAATAATTTTCGTGAACTATTATTACTTAAGTATGTAAAAATTTATTACATTTCCTGTTGTACGAGGGTTTTACCCAATTCTCGAACCGTGTCAGAGTAAATCCGTGCTATAAAAGTACCGTGTTATACGGGGGATGGTACCAATTCTCGAACCGTGTTAGAGTGAATCCGTGCTATAGAAGTGCCGTGTAATACGGGGGTTACCTGTAGTTAAACAAAACAAAACTAAAAGAAATTCATAATTTTTTTCTCTGTTGAAGATTATTTTAAGAAGTATAAAATTTTTTTTTGTGCCAGAAGAATAAAAAACAAGCCAAATTTGGTGCAGAGTAGCTGTACCTGGCATCACCATATGCACTCCTTCATATGCAAATAAGCACATGTTTGCACAGAGCCAGATCCATTTAAAGGGTGCGGTATCCTTTCTGAGTACAGTAGAATGGCACACTAAAATTGTTTGAATTGCTTTACAATCAATGTCAAATTCATCTTTATTCACTACAAGGAAAAAATCTATTTGACTCAAAATAGAACATTTATTACAGTACTAATTTTTATTGTTCACATCAAAAACTGTTAAAAGCAACCATAACTAGAATCAGAGTTATTTCTTGCAGGCTGTGGAGTTAATTTATAGTTTGGTTTAATGAATTCTGGTAAAATTTTTGTTTGCTTTATTGCTTAAAAATTAATGTTGTGACGATGGCATTTTGCCATGGCAACAGCAAAATTCACTTTAATGTGAGAATTAAGTTTATCATTATTCACTTTAAGGCAACTCCACTGTATCATGCTGTAAAATTAACACATAATGTCCTCTCCATATGTGATTTGCCACCTATGACTACATGACGTATAGTTTGTTGTCACTTTTGGAGAGTACTAACTTGGTATGGAGCACTGCTTTGTAGGAGACTGGATGTATTTTTAGCAATGAATAGGCAACTTGTGAGCAATGTTGCAAGTCTGACAGTTTTTTTCCTATACTATTATAAGCTTATTCAAGATGTTTGAATTTTTTCCTAAAAAAAGGCTGAAACTAGGACTAGCAAGCTAGACTATTACAACTAGACTAAAACCAATGAGTTTTTAGGCTTTAAGTTGTTATCATACATCTTTAGAGTATGGATTGAAGTAAGCAGTTGGAAAATTATTGTATTGTATTGGCAGAATTTAGTATTTTATCATCTCTGTAATATAATATCTGATTTTTTTAAATTACTGGTTGGTAAGATGAATATTAAAAACAACTTTTATATATATAAATATTTACAAATTAGAAGAAATTAAAAATTTGTCTTCATATCTTGTCCTTGTCAACACCTCAGGAACACAATAGTCTTTACAAGCTTTATTCATGGGTGTTGTATTGTTGTGTTCCCGAGGTGTTGACAAGAACAAGATATAAAGAAAAATTAAAAATTTTTCTTAATTTGTGAATACTTTTAATATTTATTACTGTCCTGGCCATTACATTTATTAACTTTTCTTACTTTCTAATGTTTTAATGATTCTCAAAATAATTAATTGAACCAAATAATTTTCAGATCAGATAAAATTTTTAAATTTTCGTAATTATTAATATATGTTATGGACTAAGTGATTAATAATATTTTGTTTGTCATTATTCATAATGCCCAGTCATTATGAGTAATCACAAAAAAAAATCAAGCACTGTAATAAATTTCAGGTTTTTTATCATACTTTATCAGATTGACTGGTCAGTATGAGTACTGCTATCACCCGGTCGGGCAAAGTGATGATAATACCTTGAGGAGTGATCATCTGACATACACTAGCCAATCAGCACTTGTGTGTGCATATTGCATTTACTATTAAATTTTAAATCCATGCAATCAGTAAATGCGTTAATCTTGTGCAACATTTTAATTTTACTTTTGCTTCTGAACATAGTGTTTTCTTCTTTGCAAAAGTAACAGTCATGGAGAATCATTAAGTGATATGAATAATTCCTTCAACAACTGATTAAATGAGTTAGTAGCAACAAAAGGTCAAAACAGTCAAATTTTTACAAAATCAGTATATTTGACAATGATATTGAAGGTAATGGATGGCCACCATCGGTCAGACGAAACCTGTCCATCTTTCTCCATCCATTTCCATCTCCACAAAGACTGTCTTTATCAGAAGGTGGTAAACATGAATTAGTTAAGTCCACGACCATGTTTTAAACTAAAACAACATTTGTTTACAACAATCTCACGAGTACACTTGAGAGAGAGCTACACGTGCTCGTGGCAGCGATCACCTGACAAGAAAAAGCAACAATACCCAGAATCCCATCCAGGAAAAACCTTTGTCCCCGTTTTTCAATTTGGGATTCACAGAAAACTCCTAGAGGAGTGGTGCCATCTCACCAGTCCGTGATTTGTTGTTGCAATATAAAGTGAGAGTTAAAAATCAAAGTGACTTTGAAGTTACCAAAAGAATATCAGCATTTATGTAGATACAACGTATCTATCAGAGAAATAGAAAAATTAATTGTGCATGTAAAAAAAGTTAACTTATTCACACTGAAGAAATATGTCAGATATTGCATGATGCCCGTATTGCTGTTGGTCATGGTGGTAGAAACCATATGGAAAAAGAATTAAGTACGAAATATAAAAATATTACAAAGGATATGAGGTATGGTCATAATTTACTTGAACCCAACCAAAGTCACAAGAGAAATTGAAAATTTCAATATTCTGAAATCTGTGGACAAATTTGAGATGACATACGTGCTTGCTTGAATAAAAAGAAAATATCGAATAATGAAACTTACACTTAAAAATTGTGAAATTTTGTACAGAGTTTTTCCAAAACTATGTTAGAGCGAAACTTGGATGTTGTACGGGTGATATCCCCAACTTTGAAACCATGCTGTAGAAGTACAGTGTTGAATAGATAATGTGGTAGGTCGTTCGGCAATACAAATGTATCAGCTAGTCATTTACTATGTATATATAATTTATATGACTCTAATTAATTACAAGACAAACAACTGTGAAAACATGTTTAATAGTTTACAAATTTAACTATGAAATTTGATTTTGAAAGTAACTCCTTAACAGAAAACTTGAGTTTTTCTACTAGAAAATTTTAAGTTTTTGAATCATGAGTAAACTAATATCTGCTGGATGATTTATTATTTATTAAAATAGTGAATCACCTTAGATGGAGTAAAGGTGTATGAAGAAATTCTTAAGTTATTGACAGTTTATCATAAGTAAGTATATATTTTTAATAAATATATACTTACTTTTATCACATTTTCAAAACATTATAAACAATTGAAAATATTATTAGAAAACATCGGAAAAATGTAATTAAATACTGTTTATGTATTTTTTTTTTTTTTTTTTTTTCATTACTGAAAGAAATGTCTTATAACAAAATCATGTGAGAAATTTCACGAGCATTTCAAAAACTTAGAAAAATTTTCAGAGCAGAAAAAATTGCTGATCGAAAAGAATAATTAATAACATAGTAAAGCAATAAAAGAAACAAACGCTGTTTATAAATTCTGTAGTCAAAATAAGGAAATTGTGTAAACAGAGGAAAAAATAGAAAATGTTTTGACATTAGATGATGTCATTTATTTGAAAGAAACTTCTAACTAAATTAAGTAAACTTATCCTTCCAGATAATTAAATTTTGTTCTAAAAGTTGGAAATATATCTATTGGTTTTGATTGCTTCATGTTTATGATTTTTAAAAGTCATATACATTGCAGTCAGAAACTGTGATGAGTATTTTATTTAACAAATTTTAAAACGCTAATGACCATGTACCTGTTTAAAGTGTAAAATAAAAAAAAAACATTGAAATTAAATTTTTATATTACCATAATCTATGGATATCTTTATATTGCTCTCTACTATTTTCAAAAGTTCAAAAAATATACAAAATT